CTGGACGAGACAAGGCAACAGAACATGAGAGCTCTGCCATGGAGAAGAACATTATTTTACACCATCATCGGAATCGAAACAGTGATGCAATGCATGGGCCTAACCTCTTTACGTCCGCCGATCACGGCTATGTAACACCTTATTTGTGTGGGACATATCCAAGGCATCCAGAAATAAAGTGTCAATTCCGGTATCCTCGGACCCATCCTAGCTAAGTGAGTGAGACGTTCCATATACTATTCTCCCCAAATGGGAACCGAACCCACGCCATGCTGTCATCATCACTAAATGGAACAACGTAAAACAGTCTTGTGCAAGACTTTAAGGAAAGATTCATCCCGGGCACAAATAGGTTTAACATCGGAAGCGGGACACCACAATGTTTGTCCAAGACTTCAGAGGTTTATTTACACCTCAATTGCTGGATAAGGGTATTTGTCGACAGACCAAGTACGCAGACGAAAGTAAAGTTTGAGTAAAGGGAGCTCGTTGACACGATAACTGCTATATATTATAAGTGCTGTACTTGGAAAGACCAGGTCACGTCGACAAAATGGCACACAGAAAGTAAAGAAATGGGGCCTACCAATGACTCCCTCTATCCACATTAAGTCAACATACTGCGTAAATATATATATCCAAAGGCCTGAGCATGGAGTTGGGGGAGGCAATGGAGATGTTAAGGAAAAAGGTTTAGTTTTAAAAAAAGGAAAAAGTGGGTGGGAGGGGGGTGTAGGGGGGGAGAGAAATATCTTGAGCAAGCGAGGTAGGAAAAAGCGGAAAGATAGTATTTGACTCCACTCCCCCCCCCCAAAAAAAAACAAAAAAAACAACAACCAACAACAACAACAACAACAACAAAACAAAACAAACAAAAACAATTAACATTTTTTTTAGAAAAATCATTTTAAAGAAAAATTAAAACCCTCCCAAATCCCTATAACGAATCTCACCACGCCCAAAGAATTACAATGGAAAAGATGGTTAGAAAACAGAAAAACTAAATTCTGCAAGTATGTTTGGTTACATGGGAGTGAAGCTCTGCTAAGATAAAAGTTGAAAAGCAGCCAAAAATACAGGGACCAGTGATTTGTGAGGGAATCATTATCATGAAAATGTAATGACGTCACAAGAACGAGGAATACGTTAACGATTATTAAATAAAGACATAGGTCCCCACATGAAGGAAAGAAGGACAGAGAGGAGCAGTCGTAGGGGCGAGCCGCAGAGGGTGAGGGTGGGTGGGTGGGGTAGGAGAAAGAAACAGTATCCTAGCCTATAAATAATTGCTGAAAAGCAACAGGCGAGCAGCCAGACATGAAGTAGTGTTACAGAACCAACTCATAAAGCGTACCAGTCCTACAGACAGCCCATATTCTTATAGACACTATATAAATATTTATAAGGTGAGGAAAGAACCCAACCATCACACAACAGTCTTGGACATTCAAAACATATTCCCATAACACATTTAAGAAGCCCAACAGAGCATAAAAGCAGTGATCAAATCACATGCATAAAATGGTAACAAGCACACATACCATGTGATATTATATGAGATACCAATAAAATAGAGAAACATGGAGGTGGGCAGAGGGGGGGGGGGCATGTAAAGATAAATGCTTAAGTCTACTCTCTTTAGCTATCTCTGTGTCACCCTGTATTCCCCTTTTGCTTTGGGGACATTATACACATGTATTCATTCATATATATATATAGATATCCCAATCCCTCTCACTCTCTCATCACCCCCCCCCCAATTATCTCTCAAAATTTGCAAAGACAGAGTATTCACCATTGTTACACTTCACACAAGGATGTCAACTGATACACTTTATGAGAGGTTCCACACACAGCTTCCTTTTTGAAAAAGACAGATTTGCTCAAATAAATTAACTACCTCTCCAAAATACCACAAAACTACAGAGTCTGTTTTAAATAGACTTTCAAGGAACACACTGTTGTGTCTACAAACTTGAAGCAAATCTTATTTATAAACATTATAAAAGGGCATTTAAAACAAAAAAACAACAACCTAGATTTAGTAGCTCGAGCTCAGTACCCAAGACTGGAGTTCTATATCAATTTTAAGAGGGTTTAAAAAAAATAAATGATAAACACTTATTTTCTAGTGTGAATTTTGCATTTCTCTACCATGTTCCTCTCAAAAGGTCTTTTTTATTGGAATGAACAGGTCAAAACAACAGAAAGTTTTGTTAACATTAGACAACTGGCTACGAGTAATGGCTACCACTCCTGCACACAAACAAAGCTCGAATGTTGACTGGTTACTATGGCGACCCACCTACGCCGGGGGACAGCGCCCCCTGGTCTGAATCAGTCAGGTCTAAATGAGAATGAGACACAAAAAACAAAAACTTCAAGATAGAAACAAAGTAGGCACATGATGACAAAAATCACAAGGTTATATGCGACTACGATACATGAAAATGTAGGACACGTATGAAACGTGAACAAAATTATGATGATGAAAAGTAGGCTAAGATGTTAATTTGGCCTTTTTCATCTGCATTCAAGAGCTGTCTATTTGAAAACAGATATTGCTTTAATTACTTTCATATCACAAGTCTATTATCTGCTCTTCTACAACTCTCTATTTCAAAGCAGGTATCATTGCTATAAGAAAAAGACTAATGATGTACTATCTACATTCAAACACGTTTTATCAAAAAGCATGCATCGTTGAGAAAAGTTACATACCAAAGAATTGCTATCCATATTCTAAAACCCCCTGTATCACCAATATTACAAGTAACATGCTACTACCTACAGTGGAAAACAAAATATTTAAAAGCGGACTGTGTCTTGATAAAGTATCACCCCCCCCCCCCCCCCCCCACAGAATCAAGCTCTTGTTATTTCCATGCAAGACGAAGAGCCAATTACTACACCACAGAGGCTGGTAATCATTGTGCAAGTGTCCACTGAGTATATGCATAAATATATACATAATATTATATATTTTTGTGACCTATATTTACACAATGTGGTATATGTTGCAGACTCTATCTACACACGGGTGTCCAATATTGCTGATTAGGGTCAATTTTGAGCTTGTGACGAAATGTCATTGTTGAAATGGCTTCCAGTTAACTCATCACACTGTGAAGTCGTCACATACCTTTAGTGATCTTGTCACATTTATCTCATCACATATTCAAACTTGTGAAAAACATGTGTCAACCTTTAATTAATATTATTTTAAAAAATGTAAAACCAGGGTTTATTCAATCAAAATCTACACATGTCAACCTTTCTATGTCAACATTTTAAAGAGAAAAAAGGGACACATTTACACGTTTTTGGGTGCAATATACAAAACTGGTAAAAAATGTGCATGTCCTTACGGTATGCAATAATTAAAATGGTACAAGATGGCTGGGGGAGGTGATGTGATGAGTTCACTGTTATTTGGATACTTTTTGGGGTGAACTTGCCCCACGTTTTTCAGCTGTGTCGACTTCACCGAGTGACGAGTTCACTGGTTCGCGTTGAAACAATTTAGCGTCTTCACGGGCTACCTCACTACGCTGTCGCCAACTTGACAAATGCCATCAAATGACGGAAAAAGAAAAAGCCCAGAAAAACAGTCTTTAAACAATGGTGAAATGTACAACCATTTTGTGCTAACCACAGATGCTGTCAAACACTGATCAGTTGCTTTTTGTGACCTTTTTTTCATTTTTCAGTCCTTAGTACGTGTTCTTCTGCTACAAGTCTGCTACCATTTTTCATGACCTCACTCTGACGATATCCAACCCTGAACATTCCATTTCATTCATTCGTGCTTTCAATGTCTTGGCTATATGTCAAGATTTTTTAGACACTTATATAATACATTTCGGAGACATACACTACTCCATTCCGATATGCAAAAGGCCAGCTCTCTCAACCAGAATTATGATCTCACTGGTCTCTACTTCTAATCGTACTTATATATCAGTATCAGTAAATCTATCAACCCTCGCTGTTATTTCTAAAATACAATACTGAGGACTTCAAATCATAAAGTATGAACAAAAAGGGAGAGAAGGGATGGAGGAGGATGGGGTTAGTCAAAAAAATATATAAATTCAGCTCTAAATGATTTAATCTGGTCCAAAAAAAAAGTTATGTTGCAAGTTAAGAGAAGTTAGAATGCATGATTTCTAGGCTCCAGGGTAATCAGATTAACTTTTCACATAAAAAAAAAGCTTAATTGTGAATGAAAAATAAATAAATGAAAAGCCAATTAATTAGTCCATATAAAAATAGCTTTCAAAGGTCAAAGGAACTTCAGGTCAAGACACGTTGTGCTATAGACTGAATATGAAGAAGCCTCTTACGGAAAGACATAATTATACCAAAAAACCCCCCCAAAAAACAAACCAAACAACCCCCAACAACGTGAAACTGTTAAAATGTGAGCAGCAACCCTTGCTTTTTAAACATTTCTAGTCAGTAAATTATGAAAAAAGTGCACAAAGTTCTCTGCTACTGTGACTATTCTTTGAGTCTGATCATAAACATATAATCATGGATTCCCCACAAAAGAAACTGATATTCAACAACAACTTCTAAGCCATCAGACCACCTCATGAGGTGACAGCAGTCAGAAAACGCAATGAAAGTCAAAGTGAAATACTGAACAGAAGGACTGGAAACATAAGAACCAGAGCACTGCCCTCCCCCCCCCAAAAAAAAAGAGTTCACCAACACACATACATACCTGAATAGGAGCTAAAAAGGAGTACTTCTAGTAAAAAAAAATCCTTCTAAAACACCGTCGGGGGAAAAAAATGCTAAAAGTCATCTCCCTCGACTTGTATGGTTTAACCTACTCTTTGATACACTTGTAACATTTTTTGCTAACTTAAGCAACATAATATAGGACATCCAGAAGGCGGAAAGCTTCAACCCCGCCCATTAAGGCCAACCATGGCTTTGTGTTATGCATCCGAGCGGATTAACTGACACATAAATGAGACATCTTCCCACAAGTGAGAATAGAACTCACTTCTTCTGCGTGCCAGGTGAAGAACCAGACCCTTACACCACAGTCTTGGTTTCACAGCTTCGGCAAATTTTCCAAGATAGATAATACTTTATTACTTTATTGTCCCTGTGGGACATCATGCAATTCGTTAGTTGTTTTTCTTTTTGGCAAAGTTATGTGTATGGGTGCACCGCATTCCTCGTGGCATGTCAAAGCTCACTGAGCTCTGGCTGAAAACTGTTCTTTAAACAGGCTAAAAAAAAGCCATTCACCAAACACAGGCCCTCGTTTCATAAGTTACAAGTCTTATGCGTTAGATTTTTTCCCCCAAATTTCTTATGTTGTACCAAATAAAAACTATTATTTAATTTTTATGTGAATCTTTCGATAACAAAATAGTATATTTTCTCCCTCTGACTAAACGTATCACGTAAATTTTCTGTGTCTCTGAAGGAAGTAAAAAGCGTCAATCACCAGGAGAAACATATCTAAAACAAAATATACCTAAAAAATGAAAAGGAAATCCGCATTACAATGTCTTCTGGAAAAGCACATTTATAAACTGTTCTAAAATTAAGCTCAGGTAAAAAACCGAACTTGATCTTTTCTGCCATTAGTTCAAGCAAGTATAACTCAAGATCCTTTAGCATTTCAAAGAGGGGAGTCCACAATGGACTGGTGACCTGCCTCCCCCCCCCCCCTCCTAGGAACAGACTGAAAAGTATATTACATTGCAGGTTAAAGGCAGCACCCGTGTCGAGTATTCCAATGGAGAATATATCCCCATAAAAAGAAAAAATTGCGTCATTGTAGGAAACATGCTCGAATCTCAATTTCAAAGTATGTGAAAGTAAAACATTTGCACGGCAACCAAAGAAAAAAACAACCCCAGTCAAAAGGAGGCAAACCAATATGCTTCAACCTAAACAAAATCTTTTCTTTCAGAACAAGAAAACCCAAAAAGAACCCTGAAAAGTTCCATCTTTCACATAAGTTGTGAGCAGAAGCCGCTCTGTTTGATTTATCTGCCCCCAGGTAAGCCGCTCTGTTTGATTTATCTGCCCCCAGGTGAGGAATCAACAGCCGGTGCAAAATGATTCAAATCAAGGAAGGCGAACATAAAGTAACAACACAACATTTCATTACAAAGGACAGACTAAAGAATGATTGAAGAGAGAGAGAGAGAGAGAGAAAGTAGTACACACCCTCCTCGCTGGACGATCTCTTGGGCCGACCTGTAGGCTGATACTTTAGCTGGACTTTGCGGTTAATTCCGGAAAAATGACCGTACCTGGATGCAATGTTCAACAGTATGATAAAGTATAGAAACAGTTTTCACATAAATACATCATCACTACCGCAGGAAAAAATGAGTAGCTCTGTTTAACCCTGCTTTGCAGAGTGAGTGGTAAACATTTTTCCTACAGCAGCGACAACACATGTATATATACAGAAGCAGCAACAAGCTCAAACAAAGACCTCCATAAAACAAGAGCCTCCTCATACATTATTTTCCACAATATTACTTCAAGCCTTTTAGAAAGTTTATTTCTCTTACAAATGAAAATGATATTAACTTTATTCTGTGGAGACTCAGACCAAAGGACATGACCAAGAGATTTGATCATGCCACATCAGGGCATGTCTTGTTCTAGGAGTAAAAAGTATAATACTTTTTAACACTTTCAAAGTCTTTAAAAGCCAGAAAAAAATCTTAGATCTAAAAACGTGGCTTGCGTATGAAGGAGACCTTTGACAACAGAGCATGAAGATAAAAGCAGAAAAAAAAGTCATCCCCATCATGGTGAAATCAGGCGCTAGTCAAAATAATGAAACCAAAGAAAACAGCATTTTTCTGCCGGTTGCGCAATTTTTATTCATTTTTCTTTTCTGGGCTCAACACCTATGTCCATTTAAAAACACATTTCTGTGTGGATTTTACAGTAAAATGTTGATCAAAGCCATGAAAAATGTAACTTTGCAGTTTCCAAAAACACTCAAGCTTTAGAAGTCCTCAAAATTTGGCAGCCATCTTCTCGCTAATTTTACCTCTGCTACCAGGCAATCCCTACCTCATATAAACGCAAATAACTTGACTTGTTTTCAAAATAGATGAGTTATTCTTTCATGAAAAGCAAGGCAAATCAATAGGCTATAAGACGATATCAATAGCTTCATGTTCCCAAAACTGACGAGCGCCTGATTTCACCCCATCATGACGCATACTGTAAACCGGAATGCTCCGATGGTACGCCTGCAAAATTACAGCTCCTTGTCACACTCACTCATCATCAAATAACTAATTTCATTACATTTAACAGTCATTTTTTTGTTATTGCTCACTCCCCAGGCAAAAATCAGCATTAATTTTCACGTTAGTATCATGGGGTCAGTTACCAAGAGACTGTCAGGTAAATCAGTATAACTCTTTTCAGGATGAATCATTTAATCAAGTTACTAGAAAATATACAAAATCAGTGAGAAGATAAGCAATTATTTTTCCCTGACAACATCTTCAAGAAGACAAAAAAAAAAATCAGCAGACTAAAAGAGACTATGCAAATGATACTTTCAATACAAAAAATGGAAAGTAAAAAGAAATATGAAGGAATCAAATCAATTAGTTTGTAAGTCCAAAGTACTGGGTTCGACCCCCATGAGAATCTAAAGTGGCTTCTTATTTCTGTTGCTCAGAACAGTTTACTTTGAGCAAAGAGGTGCACAACAACACAAAAAAATATCTATTAAGTGCTAGAGCAAAAACAAGACTTGTAATTGGGAGCAATACAGGGAGAAGAAAGAAGTAGACCCTCCCAGTGGCTCGATCCTTCCAACCATCTTCTTGGGTGTGTTCAACGTTTCTCTAATACTTACTCAGTCTTCAGATGACAGACAATAATATGTATAAGCCACCTCATAAACAACTGAAATATGTTGAAAAAGGATAGTAAAGAGCAACCACAACACAGGGATGGGGACTAATCCCCAAAACTTTTTCTGAAGATTCTGCGACAGCAGCAGGGGATTAGGGGGTGCAGCCCCCCTGAAGCCGGGAAGAAATATACATTTTAAACTTTAAAAACGTAGTCTCTGAGAGTGTTTTGAATTTTTAATAAGTGATTACAATAAGGTGTTATTTCACTAGGTAACAAACATAATAGATAAAATAAAAAAATACAGAAGCCTACATTCATCTAAATACTTACATTACAATGAATGCTTCTACAGGTCAGATCAATGTTATTGTTTGATGGCCAAGCAGTAATTCTTTTCCCTGCATGTTCATGTTCTCATGTTCAAGTAGGAGGAGAAATGGTAGTATGTAACTCTTTCAAGTGCAGTACAGCAATAGTTTGTCCACACCCACTTTCCCACAGCAAGAAATTGTTCAAATCCACAATGCAACAGTACAATCGTTGGCAATTTTTCTTATTTTAAATTCGTAATTTCGAAAATTTTCTGAGAATCCCCATCACTGACAACAAGACAAGGGAAATGTATCCTAGACGGTGCCTCGCCTATGACAAACTCACAACAACGACCACAACTCCACAAAGTCAACTCACATTTCCAGAACCAGTTTCAACTGGTTCAGTTTGGCCCGTTTCTCCTCAACTTCAGGGTCGGCATTGCCCTGACCTTCGGCGAGAAGATGACGCACAATGTCAAGGACTTCTTGCAGCTGTTTCGGCTTTTTCAGTTTCAGATGGCCTGTTTTGAAGCCTCCATACTTTTCAAACAGCTCAAAGAATCTAGTGAGCAAAATGGAAAATGTTTACTACTTGAAGTGTCAATATTTGTAAGAGAGGCAATAATAAGGATGATATAAAAATACAATAATTATAATAATCATAATAGTGATGACAATAATATAATAAAAACAATAATGACAATAATAATAAAAATACCAACAATAATGTTTATTAATAACATGGTTGATTTATGTCACACGTATCCCTTCTTGGAAGTAGATGGCATATTTTACAAGTTACTAACAGAATGAGAACTGGTGGAAAATCGCCCAAGCTGAGATCATATCTCCACAAAATTGCGCCAGCGGACAACCCAGATCCGTCCTGTCGAGCCTGCAAGGAGGAGGACGAAACTATGGACCATGTGTTCCTGAGATGTCCCGCCAGCTATCGTGCTAGAACACGTCTGCTGGGACATTTCAATAACCCACTTTCAGCACTTTTTAAGGACCCCCGGGTGAGTGTTGAGTTCCTGCGTGCTGTCGGCATCGCTGACCATTTATGAAGCCACAGCGCCAGAAGAGAGAGAGAGAGAGAAGTTACTAACAGGACCTCACCTGATGAGGGCAACAGCTTAGCTGAAGTATGCTTATGCACACAATTTCTCCCTTTCCAATACTAAAAGTCCTATCCTCGTTAAAGGTACTTCACTCTCTTTTCATAACTCCACCACACACAAAGTCTATACTTGGTCAAAGGCAGAGATGTAAACTGGGACCACAAAATAATATGGCTTAGAAAACAATATTTAATAATGTCAACAACCCAGCATCAGTGCGCGTGGTCACTAGGGTGCAATATTTATTTGTAAGATTAATTCTTCTCTTGTTCGGTAGCCATTCGTTGTATGAAACAGACAATAGAACACAAAAGACTCACTTTTTGTTCTTTACTTCCATTTTCATTTTCTGTTTGGGCGTTCGGTCCCCATGGCGTATGACAGCGATCACACATCGGAGCTCCATCCTGGGGGAATAGACCACAGTGAGACTAGGGGGAGGCATGGCGAGAGAGAGAGAGAGAGAGAGAGACAGAGAGAGAGAGAGAGAGAGAGAGAGAGAGAGAGAGAGAGAGAGAGAGAGAGAGAGAGACAGACAGACAGACAGACAGACAGACAGACAGACAGACAGACAGACAGACAGACAGACAGACAGACAGACAGACAGACAGACAGACAGACAGACAGACAGACAGACAGACAGAGATAAAGAGAGTAAAAAAGACACAGAGACAGAGAAAAGCAGAGATAAAAAGACATAAAGACTGAGGCAGAGAGAGAAGGTGAAAGAAGAGAGACGATAGATTGAAAGAGAAAGAGAGGGGAGAGAGGGAGAGAGGGGGGAAGAGAGAGACAGACAGAGAGACAGAAGGACAGACAAACAGAGACACACATACAGAGAAAGAGAAAGAGAAAGAGAAAAAGAGGTAAGACAGAGGGAGAGAAAGAGACAAAGAAAAAGTAAAACCCAGAGAAAAAAAGTGAGCTTACACATTTCCATAGACTCCCAACACTTACATTGAGCCCGACGCTGTCTGTACCACCGGGATGTCCTCTGGTGCCGTGCACATTGGGTAGGGAATGTGTAGCTGTGGGCAGCACGCTCTCATCACAAGGGTTCTGTGGACAACCAAAAACACATGAATAATGAATCAATCAATCAATAAAAAAAAATAAAAATCAATCAATCAATCAATAAATAAATGAATGAATGAATAAATGAATGAATGAATAAATTCCACATTATTAATCCTCTAAGAACATTTATTTTACAACAGCATACAAAAACACATAAATAAATTGCTACATAAATTAAATACATAAATACACCTACAATACACACATAAATACACAATTAATACACATTATCACACACGTAGACAATCCATGCACCATTGCAGGTTGCCGCTGTGCAGCGCCCAGCTTTTGAGCTATGGTTATCTTGATCAGCTCAAAGACATACCCATTGACTAGCACATGTAAATTTGCAGCTTCCAGACATTAAGATTTGAAAGTAACTTAATTTTGGCGACCATTTTCTTGCTAATTTTACATCTGACATCAGCTGACCCTCACCTCCTTCAATTGCAAATATCTCGACTTCTATTCAATGTAAATGAGCATTTTTCTCCTCAAAAGCGAGGTTATGATCAAGCTTTAATATTAAACCAATAACTCCATGTGCCAAAATTTTAAAAATTGAAAAAATGACCGACTCCACCGTGTCATGACATCTATTACAACGACACTTGTTCAAAACGTCCACCAGATTAAGATAACCACTTGTCTCCTCAACAATATGCAGCTGTCTCCTTGACAATAGTAGTTGTCTTGGACAGGTTCGACAGTGCTTGGCCCCACCAGTACTGCTGCGTAACTCAGGACTCACCCTAGTATTTTGGCACAGTCGTCGTAATACTTGCTGGAAGTCTTGACAAAGCTGAACCCATTGACATCACAGACATAGTGTTTCCCGTTGGCTCGCAAGAGATCAAAACCACACACATTTTGCTGAAATAGGAAAAAAAAAGTAGGTACATCAGACGGAAACAAAGAAAGATGCAGGCCCAAATGGAAGGGTCAGAGAAACAGTATTCAGTCAAGAACAATATAACCATACAGCAGGCCATACTGCAAACAAGGGAGATATTTGCTGCCCCCCTCGACACTGTAATATAACAGAAGCTAGCAAAAGTCAGTAAAATTAGATGAGAATACCACTTTAACTTTTTAAAAACCCCACTGCACGGAGGGAGCACCAGGGGGTAATGGCCCCGTCCCTCTTCTAAAAGTAACCACATTTTCACTCATATACGGTACTGCAGTGCAAGATTTTGCTCGTTTTTCAGAACAATTTCCAAACCAAGTCTTTTTAGTAATGACAAAAACATTGTTTCAAGTTCAGACTGCATTTTTAAAACAGAATATTTTTCCGTTTTTGTATACATAGCGTTACATTGGTTTGAGAAAATGAGTGTCAGCCACTTTGTCTGGTAGATGTAAATTGACTCTAGATGAAGCATCTCTGTTGTTTGAAGAAATTCACCTTGAAGAATTGAAAAACAATCAATTTTCAGAAGACAGTGAGGGTGATAGTGATGGTTGGTGAGAATGACGTGGGACTAGAGTTAGATCCAGAACCATAAAGTGTCAGTTCTAGTGGTGAATCAGCATCAGGATCAAGCAGACCTGTAAATGTTTTCCTTAACTTTTATTACATCTTATTGCCTACTCATTTTTCTTCAATTTAGCATGAACGCTTAGGTGTATTCATTGAATACTACAGTGCTTTAGGAGTTATGTTGAGGCAAGGTTTAGGTGACTGGAAAACCCCCCAAAAAACAAGGAAACGGTGGTCAAAACAGGGTTTAAAAAGTGAAAAGAGATGCCCACCAAAATTTACCTTAAACACTCTGCACACATTCCGAGCAATCATCTTTTCTCTATTGCTCAGAAGCACTGGATACCGGATCTCCTTTCCATCAGAGTCTCTCTCCACCTTCCCATCCAGAGCTGGAGACTTGCGGGCCTCCGCATGCTGATAGTCTGGGCCAACTGTGTACACCTGACGATGATGTTGTGAAGATAGTAGTAGAAGTGGTAGTTGTAGTGATGGTGGTTGTTGTAACTGCAGTGGTTGTAGCAGTTGTAGTGGCAGTATTAGTGGCAGTGGTAAAGGTATCATTAACAGTGACTGAAGACATTATGGCAGGAGCAGAACTAGAGGCAGTAGTAATTGTGGAAGTTGTAAGAGAGATGGTGGTATTAATGGTGGTAGAAGTAGTAGTTGTAGTTGTGGTGGTAGTGGTAGTGGCGGTAGTAATAATAGTGGTGGTAGTTTTTGTGGAGGTAGAAGCAGTAGAAGTGGTAGTGGTAACAGAAGTAATAGTGGTGGTAGCAGGGGTAGTTGTAGTGGTTTTGGCAGAGGTAGTTGTAATAGTATAGTCGCACTTCTCAACATATTCCCCCATCTCTCCATTCCTCTACTCTACCCCATTCCACCCAGAAAACTAAAACTATTATCACCACAAAAGACAAAAATACCTACACAACGGAACGCTTCACTTTGGAAGAGGGATAGCTCACAGCTATTAAGTGTTACCTTCACGTCCGTCCCGTCGGTGGGCATGAAGTCTTCATACAGGTAGGAGCCCTTGTTGCGAACACGGCAGAACCGGGAGTATATACTGCTACGATCCTTCACCTGAAACAGATCAATGATCATACAACAATAGTTCTTTCCAAAAAGAAACAAACAAAATAGGGAAAGAGATAACTTTACAAAAAAAATTCAAAGCCACTTTCGCAAAAAATTTAAAAAATTAAAAATCTTCAATAACATTGTGGGTGATCCTGTTGATATCCTCACAAAAAAAATGACGACTTTTTCTTCGTTCTTTTAATCAAAACAAAATGTCTCTATAACAACAAGGTAGTAGTTTAAGGCACAAGAGAACATATTACTGGGAACGTTTTTAAAAGGGTGCAGATATCATGCTCTTAAAACTACATATGGGAAGCAGCGAGGAGAAATCTGGCGCCCATCAAAATAAAGAAAGCGAAGAAACTGGCATTTTTCTTCAGGTTTGGGAATTTTTATCATAATTTCGTTTTTTGTCTCAACACCTTTCATGTCCATTAAAAAACACATTTATGAGTGGATTTTACTGGAAAACGTTGACTACAGGCAGAAAAAAATGTTAATTTTCAATTTTCACGGACTATTAATAATTGAGTTAAGGAAATCCCTAAACCTAGAGACTATTTTTTCTAGCTAATTTTACCTCTGAAACCAGGTGACCCTCTCTCCTACTTCAATCGCAAATATCATGACTTGTATTCATGATAAATGGATATTATTTTCATCTAAAGCAAGACAAATGAACAAGCTTAAGATGATACCAATAACTTTGCATGCCCAATAATTGATGAGTGCTGGATTCTACAACGTTATGACGCATATCAATCATATGAACCCAACTGACTGGTCTCAGTGTCCAGGGGTAAGAAATAAAGATATTGCAGTTTCATACAAAAAGCTCATTGTCGATCCCACCCCTACCCCCCTCAAACCGAAAAATGAAACTAAGAGAGTCAATGACGAGGCAGAAAAGAAAAGAAGAAATACCTTTCTAAAGAGGCGGGTGCTCCCCCCTCCGGCAGACACCGGGAAGTAAATGTAAATGTTGTGGTCCTCCGCATCCACCGGCTTCTCCACAAAAGGTTTCATGAACAAGTTCCCGTTGACCTCTATAGAGTCCTCCGTCTCTGTCACTTGACCTGTGACACAAGCACACATGCAGAAACTTTAAAGTACGTCATATGTGAACGAAGGCCAAAAAGGTCATAAAAGTGCCGATAATAAGAGGTGTTACAAGAGAGGCACAAACGCAAATTGAGGTAGAGGGACAAGGATGACAAGACGTTTGATAGGAAAGAAGGAGCAAACCGCTTCAAAGCACCCACCAACCACCCATTACTTCCTATTCCAATACAGAAAAAAATCAAAGATCAAAGCATCGAAACAACAAAATAAATAAAGACAAGCCCATAGAAACTTAAGGAGAAGTAGCAGTACTCACAGTCTGGGTCATTTTCTCTGTCGAGAACAGCATAACGTGGATGGGGAATGTTATTCTCCTTCAGCATTGCGTATACCTTTCTCCTGAAAAAAAATGATGAAATGTATTGGATTAACAGTTGTGGCGTGTTCATTTACCCTAGCTAAAACTAAACTGAATTAGTAACACCTCTCAAAAAGAAAAATCATTCATAACTTTTCACTCATACTGCAGAATATGATATAGACTAAACTTTGTTCTTCTCAAATATTATAACCTTAGCAAGTTCATAAGAAATTGTTCAAGAACGCCATTCATTCATGAGGAGAAAAGTGGTTGTCTTACACTGGTGAGCTCTTGAACAGAGTCACCACAATATAGAAAACATGCAAGGGAGAAAGAGGGCAGAGGTCGTTTGCACATGTCATTGTCTTAGACAGGTGGCTGTAAGAGCAGAGCAGGTTTGACAGTATAATCTATAGCCAACATCTTTTCCAAATACGCCAAATTATGTGTACACGCGTAATCCCTCGCGACAAACATGAGCCGATTACCGATTGACAATAAACCTACCTGTCCTGTAATGTGCACTGCATTTCTAAGTCGTTCACGATGAAAGGGTTGCGTAGGTTCTTGTAGGCGATTGCTTTCTCCAGTGGGAACCCGTGGGAGAAAAAAGACACGAGCCCGTTGACTATTGGCCACTCCTCCACAGGTTTGTTCAAAATTGTGTCTTCATCAAACATAATTACCTGGTACAAACAGAACAAGAGGAAACAGATGTTAGGTCTTTTAAAACCTTTTATTAATTTTAAGAACTACAAAGTATACAGATCTTCTTATTTTATGATGACAAATTCTTCTAGGTATTGCACAAGAGCATTGGATATTACCATTCACACTGACTGATTAACAGACTGACACTCTCTCTCTCTCTCTCTCTCTCTCTCTCTCTCTCTCTATCTCTCTCTCTCTTTCACAGCGAAAAAAAAGTATAAAATAGCCTAGGCTGCCACTCAAAAAGGACCAGTTAAGACAGAACGTTCAACCCCAAAGAGAGAGAACAAAGTTTGACAAAAAGGCAAAATGTTGATGGACCTTCATGCTTTGCCGAAGGTACAGCCATATCTTAAAAGTACAATTCAGAACTACCGCCTATCCAAGAAACTAGGGACTACAGACAAAAAACAAAAACAAAAACATAAATCAAACCTGCAGCCTCTCAAAGTTATCTCTTAGCCTCCTGATGATCTCGCTCATCGGTTTCGACGCTGACTTCTTCGACATGGCACAAATGCCAATGATGACTTTGCGATCCTGAAAGAACAAAGAATGTGACAACCATCTTTGTAAGGCTCACAAAAAAATCTTTATTCCATTCATTTGATTTTTCAAGACTTCCTGTGCCTTGTTTTCGTTCTAGAGACACACAACAACAAAATAACGATCAGTACAGTCTAAAGCTTGGAAAAAGTAAGACACACAGACAGAAACATCACAGTGATGATGAAAAGACGGCAGACCTACAGAAGGCACCCTCCAACCAGCCACATTAAAATTTATAAAACCCATTTGAAAGTAAGATACAAGAGATAAAAGCATTAAAGGAAGACTCTGGCTCACAGTTTGCATGGTCACTCCAGAAACAAGAATTCTGAAAGATTCCTACGTTGTTTTTTGTTCTGTTTTAGTCAGAGTTTTACGACACTTGCAACACAAGTAGGTCATATAAGTGCGACAGCATCAGAAGTGTTACAAGAGAGTAACAAACACAAAAATGAAGGACAAGAGATAGGGACAACAGATGTTTGACTGGAAAGAAGGAGGAAACCACACCAGAGTACCCGCCAACAACACACTCTGAAAGGTTCAAAATTACTGCAGTTCTGGAACAGATCTCTCTGAAAGGATCTGCATCTTGCCCGACAACTCTAGATCAAATTTCATCTGCTTTTCACATGTACTGGGTGTCTTTAAGAAGAAAAAAAAAGAACAATTTTTGGACCAATTTCAACATAACTTTGAACAAATAAAATTCAACCACATCTGTCAATAAGAACAAAATCAAATGTTGTGGAAGAAAAACATCAAATTTTAAACATTTAAACCAAGATAAAACGAAATGCAAACACTTTGCAATTTCTTAAAGATCAACCACAGTTTATTGTTCTATTTCACACAGTCACTATCTGTGCATTGAATAACAAATGTACACAATATTGTTTTTGCCAAATAAACTCAAGGTAAGTGGTGGCTATTTTAAAATTGTATGCTCCAGGTGTTGACCGTTTCACTCCATAGTCCATACAAGTTTTAACATGCCACTGGAAATTCTGAATAACCCTGTGGCATATTAATAGGTCGATTCTTTTAATCGAACCTCCACTTCATCATTGACTTTCGTCTGTTTCATTGTTCGTTGGTTGTTTCCGTACTGTCTATCAAATAAAAAAATCAAAATGAAAATAAAATATCAAAGGGGTTCAAGTCCAAGGAATGCACTGCCCATTTGTTCGCAAGCTTTCAGCTTTTAAGGCATTCCTAAAACCTTTCCTGCAATCACACAAGTGCCACCCTTCACATGTGGGGTGGAGCCTATCCCACTGGAACCAAGCCCCCTTAATAGCATAGCACCTTCTCCTCTCCTAAATTCCCCTATACGCTCTCAGCACAGTGACATCCCCATCTGATGTGATGGTCATGGCTTTACCGTTCACGCCCTACACCAGAACAGACAGGTCACGTCCCTGTATCTGAACACTTTTGAGAAGTAAAGTTTCGGGTTTTACCCAATTATGGTTGACATTTTTAAAACTTGATATTTCTCGAACACGTTGATTGATTTTTTTCATGATCACAAACTCGCTGTCCCCCTGGTCTGAATTTGATTTCTTCAAACTTTTGTGGAAATTATTGTAGTGATGACAAAGTAATTTCCTTTTCAGTGGGTCCTCTTTATTTTAGACACTCAGTAATAGTGAGGGGGGGGGGGGGGTATTCGTTAGTTCATTGCCCTACTACCCTTACCTCCCCCTCCTCCCTCTCCTTGTCTTGAACTACAGGCATCTGAAGCTACAAATACTATCTCTCTTTGATGTTCCAGTTAAGTCGTGAAAGCAGGTTGACTCAAAGGTGCTTGAGAGCTTAGTTTGAGTGAGAAGGAGCGCTTCCAAATGATAACGGTCACTAAGTGCAGGGAAAAACGAGATACACAGACAGAAAAAAACTTCAGAGTGGGGGAAAAAGCTAAGGACAACTCGTGATACTCTCCAGTCATTAACAATTGACTTTTGTTTTGTCTGTGAGAGTGAAACTAATAGACCTAACTTGTCAGAAACACAAGCAACTCTTAAACAAAAATGTTAATCAACTAGTAAAAAAAAACAAACCGGAAGTGTGGTGGCTGGCATGCATGCTCTTCTTTCCGGCTCACTTTGCTACCTCAAACATCCCCTCAATTTTCGCTCATCGTGTTTGCACGTACACCCATTTTTTTTCTGCTTCACGGCGGATTTCAGGCTGTTGGCTTGGAGGTCAAGATAGAGAAGCCGATCAACAGAAATATCTGACCTTTAATAGTCACATTCTCAGATACATTCGACCTTCAACAGGCACAAATAGTAACACCGGATGGTTAAAAAAAGAAAGAAAATATAAGAACAGAAAATCATCCTCATCCTCAAACACCCACACTACAAGCAGAGCGTATGTAATATAATAATCCACCTTACTTACCTCATCCCCATCCTCAGACATCTACACTTTCAGCAGAGCATAACACATCTGCCTCACTCACTACTCACCTCATCCCCAAACACCCACACTACAAGCAGAGCGTATGTAATATATCCACCTTACTTACCTCATCCCCATCCTCAGACATCTACACTTTCAGCAGAGCATAGCACATCTGCCTCACTCACTACTCACCTCATCCCCAAACACCCACACTACTACACACTTCAAATACCCACACTCCTACACACCTCAAACACCCACACTCCTACACACCTCAAACACCCACACTCCTACACACCTCAAACACCCACACAACTACATACCTCAAACACCCACACTCCTACACACCTCAAACACCCACACAACTACATACCTCAAACACCCACACTCCTACACACCTCAAACACCCACACAACTACATACCTCAAACACCCACACTCCTACACACCTCAAACACCCACACTACTACACACCTCAAACACCCACACTACTACACACTACTACACACTACTACACACCTCAAATACCCACACTACGAGTAGTACAAGCCTGCCTTACTCCCTACTCACCGAATACACCCACACTCCTACACACCTCAAATACCCACACTACTACACACCTCAAACACCCACACTACTACACACCTCAAACACCCACACTCCTACACACCTCAAACACCCACCCTACTACACACCTCAAACACCCACACTACTACACACCTCAAACACTCACACTCCTACACACCTCAAACACCCGCACTACTACACACCTCAAACACCCACACTACAAGCCCGCCTCACTCACTACTCACCTCATCCTCTTCCTCAAAGTCAAAAGCCACCATAAGCTGCTGCTGGAGCTTACAGGCCTGTTGGACGTTGAGGCGTTTGGGCTTGACCTGGTACCTTTTGTCGCTGGTGGACACCTGGAACCGACCTCGACCCTTGAGGAAGAGTTTTGAGTTAGCGTTCGCTGAACAGGAGAACCGAAGCCCATTTTACAAAATAATCAAATTAAATGTAGATGTGCCACGCCCCCACCGACACAATTTAGACAATCGAGGATGCTGGTCTCGATCCTGCCTGTCAGGGCCAACACAGACCGAGAGGGACACATTAATTTTTTAAAGTTTTAGTAGAGGTTTTACGGCGCTAGCAACAGCATGAGGTCATACGAGCGCCAGACGATCAGGAGAAGAGTTACAAGAGAGTAACAAACATAAAAAAGGAGAAGGGGAGATAAGGACGATAGATGTTTGAAAGAAGAAGCAAACCACACCAGAGCACCCGCCAACCACGCACAAGAGACACATTGTCCTTTAGTTTTTAGTAAGAGTTTTACAGAAGAAAAAGTTCCTATTAGGGCAGATGATTAAAGGTGTTACAAGAGTAACAAACATAAAAAAGGATGGCGGAAGGATAAGGATGATAGATGTTTGATAGGAAAAAAACACAATGTCCTTGTAGAAAGATTGAGATCCTCGATTAAAACTGCCCCCCCCCCCCAACCCCATATACGGGAAGTAAGTCATGCTCTGGTTTTCTGCATACGATGGCAAAGCCCATAGCCAGTAGGCTATACTACGGACCACAGGTACACGAGAACTAGAGAGGCTCACAGCTGGACCGACAGTAACAATGATAGCAAGATGTTATTATAATATGCCTCCGCTGTACAATCAACTATGATCGATATATCTACATTTCGTTATGGGTTATTGGTTATTCTACACAATCGACAACTGATAAGTGGGCTCCGCCTTCGGAGGCGGCCGAGGGGTGGGTGGGGGAGGGGGCGGGGGTTAAGGAGGAGAGCTGCGTCAACCAGCCTTTCAGTTCGATTTTCAGGTACAATCTTAGCATGGTTGGAAACAGCATCCTAGCAGAAAGACAGCTCGCTGGGAAACAGCATCCAAACAGGAAGACAGGAGGTCCTTAATAATAAAGTGAACAGCAAAACATTTGAGGGAATCGAACTGATGTCATAACCATTACAATAACCAACAGCTGGAGACTTAAAACAGTATAGTCATTAAAGAGACATGAAGTTCAAGATCGGAAATTCAGAGCAGTGTCAGTGTGGAGCCTACGACCAAACAAGGAACCATCTGCTGCAAGACTGTCCAATGACCGAGGCAGTTAGAAAGAAATATTAGCCCAACCCTTGGTAGAGAGATCCAAAACTGTATGTTGGCCTGGAGGAACCGCGGTGAACAGCAACTTTCGCACTAGAGACTGGGATGTCCATTTGAAGGAGGAGAAGGAGGAGGAGGAGGAGGAGGAGGAGGAGGAGGAGGAGGAGGAGGAGGAGGAGGAGGAGGAGGAGGAGCAGCAGCAGCAGCAGCAGCAGCAGCAGCAGCAGCAGCAGCAGCAGCAGCAGCAGCAGCAACAGGAGTAGAAGCATAATGATTGATTGGGTAGATGTTTTACGGCACTATCGACACAATTTTGGTCATTTAAGCGCCATCAGGTTTCACCGCTACAAAATCAGACATGTTTTTAATAAGAATCTTTCGGAGCTCGCAACCGCGAACGATCACACTATTTCTATTATGCTAAAAAGACGAACAAACATTTATAAAAAAAAATTTGTAAATATGGAAAAGGCTTATTTACATTTGTATATACAATACAAATTTCAGTGTATGTATATATACACCGTATGTATATTTACACCGATAACGATAACTATATTTTTTCATATTCTATCAAATAGTCCAATTTCTTTTATATAATTTTAAATTCTTCTAGGCTTTATGATGTCAAAAAGGGTCTTAATATCTTTACATTTAAAATATTTCTCACGGACATAATTAAAGCCGACACAATCCCATAGGATGTGCCGAACTGTGAAATTTGTGTTGCACGCCACGCAAAAAGGAGCTTCCTCTCCTTCGAGCAAATGTTTGTGCGTGACGTGCGTGTGTCCTATCTTTAGTCGGGTAAAAATTACTTTTTTCTCTTCGTGGTAGAGATAGTGGTTTCCTGGGCGTAAGTTTCGGTTGAATGTAATGGAGTTTGTTGTGTATTTGTTGATTCCAAATTTGGGACCCGGGGGATGTGATGTGTTCTTTTACTTTCGGTTTCATGTCAGAGAAAGGGATTTTACTATTTTTGTTTTCAGGTAGTTTTAGAGATTCTTTGGCAAATTGGTCAACGGCTTCGTTGCCACCAATGCCTACATGGCTTGGAAGCCAAGCTATTGTAATACTTTTTCCAGACTGATGTAGAAAATGCATTTTAATGATAAGTTTCAAAATTCTGCTGTCGGAGGTGTCAGAGCGCTCTACAGATTTCAGACAAGAGAGAGAGTCTGAAAGGATTAGGGAGGTAGACTTGGTTGATTGATCTATAATATTTAGGGCCATTTCAAGAGCTGTAGCCTCAGCAGTGTAGACTGAAGCTTCTGGGTGGAGTTTCCTTAAGCTTAAGCTGTGTGGCGATGCAAGGGCAGCAGCTCCTACTGAGGAGTCATTTTTGGAACCGTCTGTAAAGAGTTTCTCTGCTTCAGGGTATCTATTTAATAGCTGTTTGTATGAGTTTAAGTATGTAGTTTTGTCTGTAGACTTTTTGTTGTGTTTTTCAAGACTAGTATCTATGTTTGTTTTGGTTAATTGCCATGGAGGTATGCTGGACATGGCAAAGGGCTCGATTATGTCTTCAGAAAAATCAATGTCTTTGAGATCGTTCTGGATTCTTATTCCGAAAGAGCTTACTTTATTTCCTAAGGAGGATAGAGTTTTTAGGTCTTCGGGAAGGCCAAAGACACATTTGTGGGCTGGGTTTTGGGGTACTGAGCAAAGTTTCAAAGCGTACTGCAAAGAGAGTTTTTTCCTTTTAAGTTCCAAAGATGGTTCATGCGCTTCTGCCTGTAAACTTTCTACAGGTGAAGCAAAGATAGTACAGCCTACGGTAAGATGCTGCAGTGGCCCAATTTTGTGAGGCACGTCGACTCCTAGCGCCACTAGCGGCGAGAGTGCGACAGTATGTAAACAAACACAGCGAGAGACACGCAACGCTCATGCTGTCAGCATTACTTGGCCAGTTTTGTTCAGCGATCGGCCGTTCTAATTCCAGAGGAAAAACTAAATAACTGTCTTTCTTCAGATTCCCAAAGGACGAAAAATGGAAAGACAATGTGAAATTGATTTTTCAATCTAAAGTCTAGATTAGAGCTAAACTAGAGAGATCAGAGTCCAGTCTGTAAGCTTTGTTTACTCTCTGCATCATGCATCCTTGACTATGACCAATGCTTCATACTCTGTACTTTGTTGTGTGTGGGTCCATTCCATTAGGCGTAGAACTAGATTATAGATGCAAATGTTATATAGATCTAAATGTTTTCGGTGTTGTAGGTTATTATGTAATTTGTTCTTTAGCACAACACAGAGAGATCAGTATTTTGCTTATTAATTTGAAACTTTTTATGACGTATGGGCCATTGTCCTCGAAAGTCAATAAAGTTTAATTCAATTCAATTCTCTCTCACCACACATACTCATACACACTTGTACGCACGCACGCACGCTCGCACGCACGCACACACACACACACACACACACACACACACACACACACACACACACACACACATGCATACACACACACACACACACACCACCACCACCACCACATGTCCCGACCACTTCTGTACATTTTATCATCATCACGGCCACCATCACATCATCATCGTCAAATCATCTTCATGCACATCACAAAAACCACCTCCACAAACATCCAGTGGCGGTGGGTGGACTTTGGGTGGGGCTTAGGTGGGTTCCACCTCTTTACTACCAAAAATCAAGCGCTATGAGCTCAACAGTGATGATTTTGCTATACTCACGGTGAGCCACGGTATTTATTCGAGCGAGGAGAATCAACTTTGTCTTCCATCTCTTTATTCTAAGTTAGCTCTAGATTCTTCTGGATGGCGGGGACGAAACCGTTTCCCTTCCAAATGTTTTCTAATTTTCATCTAATGAAAAAGGTGCCTTAAAAGTGATACGATGTGATTTATAACACTTAAATAAGTTAAATCTCAGGAGCACACACAGCACCTCAAGCATATTATTATTCCGTCTATGATGACCTGGTA